TTCCTGTGTTGGATTCTTGCCCCGCAGTCTACAGTCAGGTGGGCCATGCACCCAACTACTGCACAGAACCAGTACTGCCTGCATCACCGGCACTCATGCCTCTCTGTGCCCTCACACTCCCTGTCTCCACTTCCAGGGGTGTTGGTCGAGAGGTGTAAAATAAGCCCCCTCATCAACTCGGCCTTAACCATGTATGTGACAGGGGGGTCCTGCTCATGAGAGCTTTCAATTTAGAAATAGGAACAAATGATACAAAAGGTAAAACCTGTGCGAGGATGAGTTGATGGAGAAAGTCGGGTTTCAGTTGTTAGGTAGAGGTGGGATAGACTTTCTTGAAGAAACGAGTGTTCAGGGATCTCCTAATGATAGAGTAGGAGATAGGCAGACATATTGGGGTAGGGAGGTCCTGGAGAATGGAAGAGACTCTGGAGAACCCCTGGAGGTGAACATGGGAGGAGATAATGAGGGAGTTGGGGAGCAGCAGGTCTTGGGAGGACTGGAGAGGATAGTTTGGGTGATATTTTGAAAGGAGGTTGGTGGGGGATTGGCAGAGATGGGAGGGGGATGGAACCCAGTGGAGGGATTGGCAGAGAGGGGAAGGGGATGGAATCCAGTGAAGGGATTGGCAGAGAGGGGACGGGGATGGAATCCAGTGGTGGGATTGGCAGAGAGGGGAAGGGGATGGAATCCAGTGGTGGGATTGGCAGAGATAGGACAGGGATGGAAGCCAGTGGAGGGATTGGCAGAGAGGGGAAGGGGATGGAATCCAGTGGAGGGATTGGCAGAGATAGGACAGGGATGGAAGCCAGTGGAGGGATTGGCAGAGAGGGGAAGGGGATGGAATCCAGTGGAGGGATTGGCAGAGATAGGACAGGGATGGAAGCCAGTGGAGGGATTGGCAGAGAGGGGAAGGGGATGGAATACATTGGTGGGATCGGTAGGGAGGGGCAGGGGATGGAATCCAGTGGACGGATGGGTAGGGGGGGATGGTATCCAGTGGAGGGATCAGCAGAGAGCTCTGACACTAGAGAGGTAAAAGATCTGGTGATATAAAGTTGATTTTCTATAGAACAGAGAAGGATTTGGATCTCCAGAATAAAATGTCTGAAATGCTGACAATGGCCGTAGTTCCCCTCGAGGGGATTGTCTCCTCTCACAGATCACCTGGAATTACACTTCATCCCGTCATCTCTGTGTTTCTTGCTCTCTGACTCTTTCTTGGGCACTTCGGGGCCAATTAACTCTCCAGTGTCCCCGGGGCCACACATGCCATCTGGTTATATTCAGGAACCAGAAACGGATAAATACCAGAGTCAGAACTCTGACCTGGGCTCAGCTCCTCTGCTGGGATTCGCCATCTTTGCCGTCCAATTCTCCGCGATCTGGGCCGGTCCGGGCACTCTGTAAGTATAATCAGATCTGGTCATCTCAGGCAGCACCACACAGAGCAGAACAAATACCAGAGGAAGATTTTCAGACTCTCTCAGGGTTTTCTTTATAAGTTTTATATAAAACATGACATACCGTACGCTGCAGTCTGCCGGGAGCATTCACTCCGCAGTGTTCATTGTTCTGAGTCCCCCTTGTAGCCGTTTTATTACCTGTTCATCCTCCCGGCAGATCTCTTCATTTTCCACTTTCTTTACAGGGTGACAACACCCACTAATGACACTGTATCTAGGGAGCAGCGTTGTCACCCTAGGAGAGAAATATGTCTGCAGTCTCTGACCACCTCCTGTAGTATGTCTGCAGTCTCCTCCATCCCCTGTACCGTGTCTGCAGTCTCTGACCATCTCCTGTACCATGTCTGCAGTCTCTGACCATCTCCTGTACCATGTCTGCAGTCTCTGACCATCTCCTGTACCATGTCTGCAGTCTCTGACCATCTCCTCTACCATGTCTGCAGTCTCTGACCTTCTCATGTACCATGTCTGCAGTCTCTGACCATCTCCTGTACCATGTCTGCAGTCTCTGACCATCTCCTGTACCATGTCTGCAGTCTCTGACCATCTCCTGCATCAGAATTTCCAGGGCTCACTTCTGCTAGTCAGAACATAAGCAAATCATCATCTGATCCTGGAGGTGTCTTTGTTTATATTGCCCAGTCGTATCTTTCCGAAGCTGAGCACTCATACAGTTCTACAATACAGGACATATTCCTTACATGAAATATACAGTACAGGACGTACGGGACATATACAGTACAGGACATATGCAGTACAGGACATATACAGTACAGGACATATACAGTACAGGACATATACAGTACAGGACATATACAGTACAGGACATATGCAGCACAGGACATATACAGTACAGGACATATACAGTACAGGACATATGCAGCACAGGACATATACAGCACAGATGCAGCACAGGACATATACAGTACACAGTATAGTACAGGCTTTGGTGACAACCATTAAAGTGTATTTCCACTTTCACAGCCACATTGGGATATCATCTATTTTATATCTGTGACATCTTCCCATTCACAGAGCAGAAGCTAAAATAAATAACAATAAATCCTTCTTGCAGTTTGAATTGCTTGTACTTGGGTTGGGGTTTCTTGGCTTCTTAGAGGGTTAAACCTTCTACTTGCTTCTCCTTCTTTGTAATGCTAGGAGGGGTTGTGAGGTTGTTTTTTTTTAACCCCGTCTGTACTGTGTTGGCTATTTTCATTATAATTTGTCAAGTAGATTTGAGCACTGCCTGTCCTAACAAAGGGTTAAAGGATTACACCCCCTGGCTTCTGCCTTGCATGCTAATGAAGTCAATGAGAGAAACACAATCTTTAAATGTCATTCCTAAGCATTTCTATGAGGACAGATCACTGCGAAGGTGCCGAGACAAACCGGGAATCAGCCATTTTGCCTGCTGCAACAAAACACCTAAAAAGGTAAGAAACATGTTTTTTTAAAAACTCTTTTCTTGTTATGCTGTGTGAATGGGAACACACAACAAACATTAGAGAGGGGTGTTCTCAAATTTGACTGCGAAAGTGGAAATGCACTTTAAATTTTGTATTTCCCATCACATTCTGTCTCATGGACAATGGTTGCCAGGAAACAATTGAGAGGGTGAGTTTCCCAAATGGGGACAGTAATAAAAAACCTAAAACTGACATTAAAAACTACTCCCTAAAACAAGTGTCCACACCACCAAAAGTGTATGAAAAAAATGAAACGTAACCTTTTTATAAATGGTATGACATGATAACTTCTACTACACCCCATATACACTGAGTGGCCGGATTATTATATACACTGAGTGATATATACGCCGACGGCCTCAATTCGCACGTTCAGACCCAGATTTTCGGCTGACAGTCCGATCTTTAAACACTTTAACAACAGCGGCTCTTGAACATGTAACGAATTCTGCTGTTTTGCTGATACTCGCTCCATGGCTCCGAGCGCCAACAATCATCCCACGTTCAAAGGCTGTTACATCGCGTTGTTTCCCCGTATCTTCAGAAACAAATCACTTCTACTGTCGTGGTAAACAACCCGCTTCCCTATTTATAATGGTCCGGCCCTCTAGCAACTTCAGCACCAAATTATAGCTAATTTGCCTACAAACGTCAGGTGGTCATAATAGTCTGGCCACTCAGTGTATAACTTACAGACTAAAAAAACATTACAATATATACAACCAGCCCAATAGAAAGAAGAGTATTCATATACCAGTCTCTACAGTATATAATGGTGTCATCCATCAGGGAACTCAGATAGAGCCTTGGATGACTCCTCCCTTATATGAAACCATTTACATAATATGTATATTGTAGTTAAAAAAATACACACAATGTATATATACATATATACACACACTGATCAGCCATAGCAACTTGTCCACCTGCCTAATATTGAGCAGGTTCCCCTTTTCCTGACCCAATGAGACATGGACACCACTAGACCTCTGAAGGAATGCAGTGGTATCTGGTCAGTAGCAGATCCTTTAAGTCCTGTGAGTTGTGAGGTGATCGGCCTCCATGGATCGGACTTGTTTTTCCAACACATCCCACAGATTCCCGATTGGGTTGAGACCTGGAGAATTTGGAGGCCAAGCCAACACCTCAAAGTCAACGTTGTGTTCCACAAACCATTCTTGAACCATTGTTGCAGTGTGGCAGGGCGCATTATCCTGCTGAAAGAGGCCACTGCCATCAGGGAATACCATTTCTATGAAGAGGGGTACTTGGCTAGCATCAATGTTTAGGTCGGTGGTACATGTCAAAGTAACATCCACATGAATGGCAGGACCCAAGGTTTCCCAGTAGAACTTTGGCCAAAGCATCACACCGCCTCCACCGGCTTTTCTTCTTCCCATAGTGCATCTGTTTGCAGTGTGCCTGCCACCCCCTTTCTGACCAGAGAGTCCCAGGTTGCTAATGTGAGAAATGTGTAAAGGCCATACATATCTCCCTGCCCAGCTCTTAGCAACGTGGGACGCTCTGGCCGGCCAGGGTCCCACCGAGCTCATGGCAACCAGTGATGTTCCTGGTTGCCAGGAGCTTGGTGATGCTGGCAAGAACGTTCCAGGTTGCTAAGAACTAAGCGGGGGAAATGTGTAAAGGCTGTGCATCTCCCTGCCCAGCTCTTAGCAACTTGGGGCGCACTTGCCGGCATTACCAAACTCCTGGCAACCAGGGACATCACTGGTTGTCATGAGCTCGGTGGGACCCTGGCTGGCCAGAGCATCCCAGGTTCCTTAGAGCTGGGCGAGGAAATGTGTAAGGTCTCTGCATCTCCCCACCTAGCTCTTAGCAAGCTAGGACACTCTTGCCTGCTTCACTGAGCTCCTGCAATCCAGTGATGTCACTGGTTGTCAGGAGCTTGGTGGGACCCCGGCTGATTGTGCATCATCCAGCATTTCCCACTCCCCTGGCCGCCTCAGGCATCAAAAAGGCTACGGATACCCCTGATACTCTAAGTATCTTTGAATTTTTATTTGCAGACAGAAGACCAATGATGAACATCACCCTCCCAGACGGTAACATGACCCAGCTGTCTACATACAAAGAGAAGACTGTCGAAGCTGTGAGGACATCCCTGTTGATCGTGATGCTTCTTGGCTTCTGCTTCTTCCTGTACTTCATAAAAAGTTTGTTGAGCGTCTATTTCACCACCGAACACATCCGAGATAACTCCCGCTACATCCTCTTTGCCCACATGCTCATCACGGATACGGTGTATCTGTTTTTATGTTTCTTTCTGGCGGCCTGTTCACTCTACTTCGTGTATCTCCCATTTTCAGTCTGTTACACAACCGTAGCTGCAACTACGACTTCTTTCATTGTGACTCCATACAACCTGGCCGTTATGTCACTGGAACGCTACGTGGCCATCTGCTTCCCGCTGAGACACGCAGAAATTTGCAGCGTGCAGAATACCTGCATTGCCGTGGCAGTCATGTGGGTAGTGGGTTTGGTCTCTCCGACTGCCGAGCTCATAGTTTTGCTGCTTTTGGTTAAAAAGGACGTTTTCTCCCTGAAGGTCCAATGTAGTTCTATGGCAATAATGATAGTTCCACCACAAAATTCCTTAAGATTCCTCAGCATTGTACTCAGCCTCTCGGCGGTTGGGACGATCCATATGTTGACGTATATTAAGGTCGTCATCGCGGCCAAGAAAGTGAGCTCAGGTACTTCATCAGCCTCGAAAGCGGGACGCACTGTCATGCTCCACGCCTTCCAGCTACTATTGTGTATGACTTCTCTCTTCTCCTCGTTCATCGACATGACCTTCGCTGACAGCATCGTCTTCCTGCGCATGGCTTTCTTTTTTGTGTTCATGTTCCTGCCGCGGTTCCTCAGTCCTTTGATTTATGGGTTACGTGACGAGGTCTTCCGCAAGTATCTAAAAAAGTTACGCTCAAAATAATCCCTGACAAGTTAGAAATTAATAAAGTACTTATGCTACAAAAAAGGTTTCCAGTGGCTTTCAATCACTCCATGGGAACCCCAAAATCTAAAACGGTAATTCTACCATTCAGGGCCCATTCACACCACTGCACACGTTGATGAACTTACATTGCATTGCATAACAGTAAGGCAGACCTTGCATGTTGAATGGGCTCTCTGTGAGTCTCAATGTACGATAAAACATTCCCACACTAGTGTTGGCCAACAAAGCTTCCCATATCTTAGCATTCACATATGTATGTTGTGATGGGCTGGAGGGCAGGTGCTTTGTGCCTTACATTGAGTGCAAAATGGTTGGTAACACACCGCAATGCACATATACCGGAATTGTTGTGAGCTACACTACTATTGATCAGTCCTGTGCATAGAAGCTGCTAGGAGAAGAGCAGCAGCACGTGTCCACGTTGAACAATGAGAATCTTGGCGCCCCAGAAGAATGAAAGCTCAGAAGACATTCTCATTGCTCAGCACGGTCAGACGTTGACCAACCACATGATCACACCGACCCATCACCGCTCCCCATTGCAAACTTTGTGTTGCTATACAGCCTCCGGGGTCCTCTTAAGTTCCCAAACCATTTAACCGGTTGGCGTGGGTGGCAGACGAGGGTCATCATTAAGGATAATTGGGGCAGGGAACAGGGGAAAGGGGAAGGGGTGTGAGGAGGCTGTTGTGAGCTTTATTGCTATCACACAGGAGCTAACAAGCCGCTGTGTGATAGCATTCGGAGGTGACAGGTCCTCTTTATAGAACCTGTCACTTCCAATACAGGAGTTCTAGCACAGCACTGTGCTGGCTCTCCTGAGACAGCTGAGATGGGAGGGCTGTGATGGGCAAGTGCAGCTCTCCCGTCTCAGTGTTTACACGGAGCAGAGCAGAGAGGAGATCGGATGTTTTCCACTCTGCTCCCCGCTCTCCATCCTGAACTACATTAACTAAACGAGCACTGGCTTCCCCGCTCTAAATGCAGAATAAACTACCCGCCAGGCCTCGGTGGCCTTGTGGAAAATCCGGCCCTGCACACAAGTAAGCATTTCATTGTACTACTGCTTATAATTTGTTCATATGACAGAAGACAATAAACTTAGAAAATATGAGACTACAATTAAGCCGCACCGACAAACATTGTGCAGGTTGGCAACTGTCCACATTAGAAAGCTGGTCCAGAGCAAAGGTGTCCATCCAATGCATGTAAGTGCATGTAGGCAGAAGGTGACTGAAAGAGGCTGGAAGAGATCAGCAGCACTGAGATGGAAAAATGGTTAAAAAAAGGAAAAAAGTATTTTATGAAGAAAAAATTGTAATTGTTTTTGTAATTGTAAGGGGAAGAGGTTAAATTGCTATTGGCAGGGGAAAACCAAGCACGACACAGAGACACTCCAAAAACATTTGTCCGGCACTTTATTTAGCAAGGAAGCAAACAACCACAGTTCAATGCAGAAGGGATTTGTAGAGCAAGTCCATAGCATAAAACAAACAGGACCTCTGCACATCTGAACCACTATTTAAACTCAGTAGAAAAGCTACTGTTTTATGACTCTGTCTAAATTCTTAGATAGCACTAAAATATTTGTATTAGGCAGTAAATGTATTCCTTCTATATTAATGTTTCAGTAGTGTATGTTCTAAACCAGTGGTTCTCAACCTGTGTAAGCTCAGGGCCCACATTTGTTCTCGGTCATTAAGTCGCGACCCAAGTCGCACTGCAATGGAACGCACAGCATTGCGGTACCGGTACCACGCTTTCTGGTTGCTTTGAGGCTTGACAAAGAGGCTGTGCCTCGAAACGCGTAGCCGCTATTGCTGTGAGAGCCTTCACCCCTCCACCACCTCGCACTTTCCTCCCTGCCTAGGACGAGTCATACTGCTGAGACACCAGCCGGACGATACCTGCGGCACACACTGTGCCTAGTACTTTACAGCCGTTCGCGGCTCCTCTCTGGCCATCCGAGTACGCGGGGTGCTAAACTTCTTCACAATGCCCCCAGACCTGTCACTATCACCCTGGTAGCCATCCATCCTTGGATCTAGGCTCCTCCCCTAGGCATCAGAGACATAGATGCCAGGACTTCTGCTGACACACCAGCCGTCTCCCAACTGTAAGTTCCATTTCTTTACACACTACCAGTCATTAGTTTTTAGGGTAGTAGCGCTCCTACAGTTTGGTTGTTTTACGCTTTCTGGTGCAGGTGATCGAACTGTCGGTGGGGGGTGCGTTCGGGGGCCATTCAAATGAATGGCAATGCAACGTACCTCCCATACCAGAAAGCACAGTAGATGCGATTGCATCCATATGTGCATTGCTTGTACAGCTCCCATGGGCGCCCGTAGAGGTGCCGGGAGCCAGAATGTGATGTCAATCCGGTCCAGGCACCCTTACAGGGCGTGCAAGGGAGCTGTAAGCAATGCACGTATGGATGGATGGAGCTCCCTCGCGGCCGTAGCCTCATTTCAAGTCGACACTCGGCGAGTCGGCACCGGGCACCATATTTTGAATGGCTGCTCGTTGCGAGAACAGACAGTACTGTGCTAGGGGAAGACTGAGAAGCCTCTCACCTAGAAAAGTGGAGGGCTTGAGGCCACCCACTAGACACAGGGTTGCGACCCACTTTTGGGTCACGGCCCTCCAGTTGAGAACCTAGGTTCTAAACAATCTTTTTGCAAAAAGTAAGGTGGTTGACACTGCACTGAGCAAGATTTAACCTAATGCTTGACTGAGGTCAGCTGTGCACTGCAGTGCTGAATATCCACCAGAATTTTGCATGGGTGCACATCTAGATGAGGTCCGGGTTTGCTGCTACCCCCGGTATTCACGAATTAGAAATAACCAGAAACCACCAAAAATAAGGGACAACCCATAATGCAGTACATAGCCTTCGACTCTGGTCAGCTGAGACAAGAGCCAACATTTAGAAATAATGGATAACTCCAATAATTCCCCCTCATTACAAAAGGATGGACTCACAGCATTCTGTATATCCTCAGTGTATTCTGTTGTTAGAGGGAGTTAACAATTCTGTATAGTGAGATATACTCTGCTATCCTTTGCTATCCTGTGCTTTTAAATTTGCCATAGGTACATGTTCCCATGGCAGTGCCAGTCCTTCCATGCCTTTTAAGAACAGTTTACTTATTAGCTCTACAAATGGTCATAATTAAAAGATTATCCCACCAGTTACCCTTACCCCATAGACTGCAATAGGCTCAATAGGGTTCACTGCAAAGTTCACAAACTTCGAGCATGACGAGCTAGTCGTGAGAAGAGTGCGGGCAATTAGTCACATCATCTTAGTCATTTACTGTAAAAGTGTAAGTGATACTGCAAAAAATTAGTTCCTCAATTGTGGTGAACACCGCCCCCCCTCCCCAGATGTCAATTCAGCTTTTCACAGAATATGCACTGAGTGAAGAGCATCATTAAGTACAATGCGTCAAACCATCTGTCTGTAAACTCCATTGGGAAGGTGAGCAAGATTGATGTCAACACATATCCCATCTCCGCTTTACAGGCCACCAGAGAATTAGTTATTTTACTGGATATAAATATCTAGACAAGGCTTAATAAGGTAAAAACTCGGAGAGGTTAAGAACAAGAGAAACACAAGCACTTATATAAATACAAATCACGCAGGTATATATATATATATATATATGAATATATATACAGGTCACATCACAGAAGACAAGTAACTTATGTTCCTAGCAGAGAACTGCTGCTGCTGCTGCACTGGAAAGACAACCACTAAAGTGAGTAGACACCACTAAATACTTAAAAACATGTCAACTGTATAAGTCTACATTGTATAACCTTATAACAAATACATTTGGCTGTGATGTTTGTGGCATTTAATGTCTAATTTTTTATTATATTCTAATATTTAAATACCCTGGTAAATAGGTTGGGTAGAACTAATAAACCCATAAAGAGTCACAAGGCCGGAGGTGGTCCAGAGGAACATCTAAACCAGGTTGAGGGTTCAACATGGTCTATCAGCCAGATACATTCACAGACCTTTCAACATGACCCCCTCCTGTAGGTCCAAAATTCTGACTATACTCATCTGTTATTTAAAGTCTATCTAAAGACTAGATAGGGGTTAAATCCCCTGATGTTATTTTAGAGCTGTCGTTGTCTCCATTAGGGCGATCCACCTTTCTCCGTTTGTCTTGCAGACTATATTCACCAGGACCGAAAGTGAGGGAACATTATTATTATTATAGAGGATTTATATAGCGCCAACAGTTTGCGCAGCGCTTTACAATATAAGGAAGACATTACAATCACAATACAATTCCAGACAAGATGGTAAGGAGGGCCCTGTCCCTAAGGGCTTACAATCTACAATCTAACATCCACAATTTTTACTTGCCACAAGACTAGTAATTGGCGGGAAGACTACCATTAGGGACAGTTGTTTTGCTGATAGCAGTCCAAGAGGGGATCTCCTTCACTTTGGAGAGACTTCCCATGAATTCCTGTTGTATCCACTGCACTTGAACTGGGAAGGAAGATCTCCTGAATGGGACACAGATGGCAAAAAAAACCTGACTAGGTTTTAACCATTCCCTTTTGTTTTGTCCAAGATGAAAAAAAATGTTTTAGCTTGAGATATTCTTTAAGAAAACTGTATAGAGTGAAACACGATGACAAACAAATAATACAAACACTTTAATAATTTGTATTTTTCTTATGAGTCAGTAGGTGGAGCTCTCCGCACCTTTCCAATTGTTTACAAGCTCTCCTTTTGACTCATTTAAGGAAAAAACTTGTTTTTTTTTATAGACCTCATTAGCACAGGCTGAAATTTACATACACAGGTGTATGAATGCAATGGCTCATCATTACATATCAAACACTGCATCTGAGATTTCAGTTTGACAATGCATACCTCCTGACAGGTAGCTACTGCTGTGTTGTCTATTTATATAACCCATGGTGTTCTGGGAATCCTTTGTCATTTATTAGACATTTTAGTCTAAAACATAAATGGTATACATATAAAAAATATATAAAACCTAAGTATAAATACATATTAGAGATGCACCGATACCGGTTTTTCGGTATCGAGTACCTATATTTTTTTCCCAGTACTTGCCCATACCGAATACCGATACCGGAAGTCCCATTAAGTAAGCCAAGCGGCATGTAATGACTCGCCACCTGGCTTCCTGATAACCCGGGAAGCCGGGCAGCGTGTAAAGACTCGCCACCTGGCTTCCCAATTAGCAGGGAAGCCTTCTCGAGTACCTATATTTTTTTTCCAGTAATCGTCCATACCGAATACCGATACCAGAAGTCCCATTAAGTAAGCCAAGTGGCGTGTAAAGACTCGCCACCCGGCTTCCCGATCAGCAGGGAAGCCTTCTCCATGCTTCTCGTCACTAGGTGATAAGAAAGCATGGAGCTGGCTTTCTGGCCAAGCAGGAAGCCGGGCTCCGTGTAATGATGCGGCGCCCGGCACATTCACATTCATACATACTGGGACAATTTAAGACAGGAGCCAATTAGCCTTCCAGCATGTCTTTGGAGTGTGGGAGGAAACCGGAGCACCTGGAGGAAACACATGGAAGCACAGGGAGAACATGCAAACTCCTTGGATAGTGACCTGGTCGGGATTCGAACGGACACAGAGAGGCCCCACTAACAGCAAAGCTGACATTTGTTAAACATAGTTTTATGACTTTCCTAAATAAAAAAAAATAGCCATTCTGTATAATACTAGAACATGAGTCATTACCACCAATGCATTATCCAGATTGCAAAGAGAGCACTCTGCCAGCCTGACAATACTTGATTGCCAACCTAGGACCTGATCATAGTTGTTGGCCTTTGTCACACTGCCAGCGCCATTCTGGAAATGTATCTATGTTATGCTAAGACTGTGACAACCACTTGACCATTCCAAATTGTTTACTGCTGGAACAAAACCGAGCTTTGTTATTTTTTTGGTACAGTCCCACTCTGTACACACACCCAACAAAAAGTAGTACACCAAGCATCTATTTTACGCACATGCATACACACCACTTCCAAAGCACCAAACCTCTGTGTCAAAATTAAAACACTTAACCAAAGGAAATACAATACCCTATGTAATATTTATAATGAATTTTAACCTTTCAGTATGTGTTATTTGCTATTTGTTTCTTTGGGCAATTGCAGTGCAAAAAAAATGAAAGGGAATCTGTAAATGGGCAACAATTAGTTTTATGTAATACAGGCAGTCCCCGGGTTACGAAGAAGATAGGCACTGTAGGTTTGTTCTTAAGTTGAATTTGTATGCAAGTTGGAACAGGTACATTTTTTAACTCCAGCCAAAAAAGTGTTTTTTTGTATTGGATAGCATAGGGAAGGGTTTACCCCCTGTAAAGTTTGTTTTGCTGTCTATGCCCCTGTTCAGAAGATTTCACCTCACTTTCTGTCCCTGTGACAATTGGATTTTGAAAATGTTGTGTTGTCGTTGAAACAAGGATTGGTGATAAAGCTTCAGTGGAGACACCTTTTACCCATGATCACAGGAGTGCATTTTCCTTCCTTGTTGTCTCAAGGACAGGAAGTGAGATTAAATCTTTCTAATGAGGATACAGACAGCAGTTAAAACCTCACAATGACTCGGAAGAAGAGGCGGGCTCCCCTCGTCTGTAGGTCTAACAAGAGCCAACTTCCTGTAATGTACGTACAGTACTACGAACCAGACCCAATAAGGCAGACACCCCCCGTCTGCACATCTAACAAGAGCCAACTTCCTGTAATGTATGTACAGTACTACGAACCAGACCCAAAAAGACGGGCACTCCTCATCGGCACGAACACGGTAGCATTATAACTACCCCTGCTGTACAGTAATGGCCTGCGTTTGTAAGTAGGACTCGTATGTAAGTCGGATGTATGTAACTCTGGGACTGCCTGTAAATATAATAAATATAACTGCATGCAAGGTCAAAAAAATACAATTGTTTGTTGAAATTAACCTTTTTAATCTTTTTAAGCCCGAAAATTTCCAAATAAACAAAGACAAACAAGTCAAAGAGTTCTACAGCCACGGAGACATGGTCAACCTCTCAACCGTTTACAGTAACGTAACTCAAGGACCCGTTCTTGATAATATGACAGAAATAATAAGGGTGACCATCTTGATCCTGATCGTGATGTCTTTCACAATTTTCTACCACTGGCTGGCCATTTTGCTCCATATCTACTTCACCACACCGCGCCTACGAGAAATGGCACGTTATGTGCTTTTTGTTCACATGCTTGTCACCGATATGTTGTATCTGCTGATTTCATTTGTTTTGTTCATTTCTTCTGTTTATCTTTTCTACATGCCGGTACCAGTGTGCTACGCCTTAAGCACCTTTGCAGCTTCCTCCTTTCGGGTCACACCTTACAACCTGGCCATTATGTCAATAGAGCGTTATATAGCAATCTGTTCCCCGTTAAGACATGGTGAAACTTGCAATGTCCACTGGTGTAATTCTATGATTGTTCTCATGTGGGCGTTGGGGTTAGTCCCCATTGCCATTGACTTTATTGCTATGAATTTCTCTGTTACCCGAGACTTTTACTCCCTCCATATGATGTGCAACTGGCTCTATTTTTCAAAGAACCAGGTACAAAGCACTGTAAGATCTCTGGTCCTCATTCTCAGCTTCTCCATGGTGGGACTCATTATCTTGTACACCTATGTCAAGGTCATGGTGGCTGCTAAAAAAATAAGTTCCGGCAAGTCTTCTGCCTTCAACGCCGGGAAAACGGTCCTGCTCCACGCATTTCAGCTTTTGTTATGCATGATCTCCTTTTTCACTTCCTTCATAGACATGTACATGAGATACAACTACGCCTTTGTTCCATCAGTCAACTTCTTCTTCTTCATGTGTCTTCCAAGGTTCATCAGCCCTCTCATTTATGGGATAAGAGATAATGTTTTCCGTAAAGCCACACAAAACTTTTGGACCCATATTTGTTTGAAGAGATCTTTAAAGTGATTAAAACGGAACTCCATGCAGATATAAAACACTACATTTTAATGCATAATTCACTTTTAAAAAACCCAACAAAACCTATTAATAGGACGATATGTGTGTGTGTGTGTATTTAGCTGGCTGGAGTTCAGTTTTAAGGCCAGCCATATGGTGAAAATGGATCATTCTCATTTACTTTACATGATCTATTCTGCAAAAAACTGTATTTTTATTTAACAATTTAACAATACAATTCCCAATCTCTGTATCATGTTATAGAATAACATTGTAACATGTTTAGCACTGACCAAAGCAGGTAAAAAGGAAACTTTTAGTCAACCTAAGCACCAAAATTTGACATCAGGACATAAAGAAGGCACCAATGGATCCAACAGATGCACCTGTGTGTTTCCACCTTCTAGAATTATCATTGGTATTTATATACGTAGCACTGACAATTTTACATAATGCACATTAGTCCCTGCCCTCAAGGAGCTTAAAATCTAAGGCCTTATTAACACTAGAAACGGCCGGCACATACAGCTCCATGCTGCGTGCACGGCCGTATCGGGCAGCTCCCGGGAAGGACAGGTGCTGCGTGTGATTAGTATTCAGCCCCTGTCCTTCTCTATGAGACTACGCGGCCCCTACGCTCTACTACTCCCCCCTGCGCTCACCTTAAGTGCAGGTCCGTGTGGGTGCATGTTTCCTGGCTCGTATGGCCGCGTAGTAGAGAAGGACAGGGACTGAGTACTAATCACACGCAGCACCTGTCCTTCCTGGGGGATGCCCAATACGGCCGTGCACGCAGCACCGAGCTGTACGTGCCGGCCGTTTCTAGTGTGAATGGGGCCTAAGGTCCCTATCTCACATGCAAACATATGAGGGGCCAATTTAAAACATATGAGGGGCCAATTTAAAAATAAACAATAATAAGATATAAAAATTTTAAAAAGTAAAAAAAATAAAAAAGTGATGAAAAAGTTAAAAAAAATAAAGAAACAATAAAAAAAAAAAAAAACTAACCCTGCCGCCCTGCCATCTGGTTGCCATTCTTCATTTTACCCGCTCTGCCCTATCCCTCCTCAACTGGCATTCCCCTTTGTTTGACTGGCACTTTAAGTTCAGAGATCATCAGAAGTTTCTTGTCATCGTCACTTTCACGTTGGTATTTCCATTCTAAAAAGGAAGAGGTATTGGGAGAGCAAGTCATGGCACTAACCTGGGTTTTATGAACATTAAAACACTGGGACAATCCCTTTAAATTCAGGAAGGTTGGGGAAGAGAGCTTTTTCTGTGGGACAGATGTGTTCCTCTGGGATGAGTATTGGATTATTTCCTGTGGTTGCTGTTTTTCAAAAACTACATTTGAGTTGCATAAGCAGTTAAGAAATTAGGTTGGGGAAAAAAACACACTTACCCTCATCTTACCCTGGCATAAGAAATGGTAAAGACAAACTTTTATCAAAATAATACAAAGTAACGTTTTGTTTTGCATCAGATCAGCTTGATGTTTATTGCAATTTCATTATGTAACATCTTAAGCTGTTAAAATCATCATGTACCAAAACACGAGCAATAAATATATACGTATATACTGTATATAATATGTTGTTGTTGTCCATTTGTTAAGCCAACTCCTGGTTCTGTCCTCCGCCTCCCAGTCACCTAGGCTCCACTCCTGGAGTCCTCCTTAGTTGTTTTTCTGCTATATTTACCATACTTACCAGATGTCTCCAGGCCAGTCATGTGACTCGTTGGGTCCTCTTCTTCTTGGCCTCTGCTCCACTGCTGGTTGGTCCTGAATGAAGGAGGCAGTGGTGCTAATGTGATGACATCAGCACTCCTCTCTGCATCATTACATTGTAAGTGCATATCATGTTGGTGAGGTCCCCTTAGAGCAGGGGTGCCCATAATTTTTCATCTGGAGATCTACTTTTCAAATGACGAGCTCAATGAGATCTACCAATGAAAATACACCTGCATTCAGGGGCGGGAGGGGGCATGGCTGTGCATTGAAGTCAATGGCACTGCAGCCACACCCCTCACCCGCAGTGTGATCGCCTGCACCCGGAACGCAGGCACATTGGTGCCTGCGTTCCGGTCCAGTGCGATCTGCAAAAATACTGCAAGCACTATTTTTGCAGATCGCACTGGACCGGAATGCAGGCACTAATGTGCTTGCGTTCTGGGTGCGGGCGATCGCACTGTGGGCGGGGGCATGGCTGCTGTGCCATTGACTTCAATACAACCCCAGGCCCCCTCCCGCCCCTGAACGCTGGGAGTCAGTCAGCTTGCATTCCAGTGCGCTCTAGAGGCGCCGGTGTCCTGTCCTCCCGCGGTGCTCGTGTGGGCGAATATGGCCGACGTTGCACACGGGGAGAGGTGTCCTGCCCCTTTCCGTCTACGGTGTCTAACACATTCAGCCGGCAGCCACACACGCACCGCGGGAGCATAGCCGTAGCTAGCTCCTTTTGCGCCTGAGACAAGAAAAATAAACTGTGTCCCCCCAACAGGCGTGTGACATCACCCAGCGCCCTGCCTCCAGGATTTTAATTTTTTACTATTTTTTAATTATTTTTTATTTCATTTTCATTTTTTTTAAATTTAAAACATAAAACAGCCCCCTGATATTTCCCTTTTAAAATAGAAAAATAAATTGAGGACACAAAGTCCTCAATCTCTTTTTCTGCAGCCTCTGTTCTAAAAAAATGGAAAGTACAAAGGCTTCCCATTCATTCAGAAAATATTTACTATCATCCAGTTTCTGAATGGGGAGGAGCCTCTGTATAGAGTGCTACTCCCCATTGAGAATGAAAAATGAATGAACAGGAGGTGATGAACAGGAACAAATAGAAATTAAAGTTTCGCAAAGCATTATATTTGGGCTCGCCCTTGGGATAAGCTTTACATTTTGGGGGTTGATCTTCGGTATCTGTAGTCCTCAAGCCAAAACGTTTGGGTGCTCGGCCAGGGATCTGTAGTTCCAAAGCAAAACAGTAGGCAGAGGGAAGGAGGAGATGTGTGGCCCGGACCAGTGCTGAAAAAGACAGCCCCCAGCAGGCAGCCCTGAGGTCCCCAGCAAGCGCAGGACCTCTCGGAAGTCTCTCCTGTTTAAAAATGTAAAGCGCCAGTATCTTAGTATCTTAGTGTTGGGGCATTTTCACGCGTACCAGTACTCGTGAAAATGCCCAGTATCGGCACCGATACCGATACTGTTATCGGTATCGGTACATCCCTAATTGTGACACATCTTTTTATGTCTTTCAGTCTAAACAGAGAGCAGGTAGCTATATAATGCCCACCATATGCCACTGACTGTGGGCCCGGCTCTGGTTGATGTCTAAATTCAGAAGCATCTCTACTTAGGGCCACCAGCACATCCAATTAGTACTATTAGATGCCTACTGTCTCCCTGCCTAGACATCCCCTGGGCAGTTCCCCTCATTTAAAGAGGAACTCCGGGAAAAACTACTCTTAACTCTTGCACTCCACTATCAGACACATGTGAGAGAGGTGTTTCCCCTAGGATTAGATGGCATGAATAGGATATATATATATACAGTATATACAGTTCAGTGGAAGGCATTGCTTGTCTTTCTAAGGCCCCATTCACACCAGATGCATTGGCGTGCATTTTTGGAAGCATGCCAATGCAATGGCAAAATTCAATGGATGTGAACTGGGGCAGCTCACATCATTGCGTTGTGTTAAAGTGGACCTTTACACTTAAAAATCAAATTCTACCAATGCATCCCTCTCTGTATGATGATTAATAATAACATAGACATTTTAGATGTAAAATGCTGTGATTATGAAATACTTACACTTGCAGAGCATTCACTTCCTGCTTTGAAAGTGCAAATTTCTTCCATTTGCCAACGCAATGCACACTGGATCCCTTGTCATCAGCAGAGCATTGCTGGGAAATCTCATCTTTAATCTCATGAGATCTCAGTGAAAGGCATTGTCCTCCCCTTAGATGATGTGCATGGTCACATGTCCTAGTCACATGTCTAGTCACATGTGCCAGAAATCAAGGAAGTAATAGGAGAGCTAGTAATCTGCCCTTAGTAAACATGGCCACTGTCAGACGATTGGGGAAGAAAATAGAAATAAGTTATGCAAAGAATACAAAGTCGGCAATTATCTAGAAGTATCTGTTTGTAGATTGTCATCAGTAAACATTTCTAAAGGTGTGTGTGTTGTTATTTTAAAGATCGGGGTGAAGGTCCACTTTAAGGTGCCCTGAAAAAAGTAGAGCATTCTCCCCCCAAAAAAGGGGGGAAGTTTGGCTCCTCTAGTGTGCCATTTACTATTGCCAACCATAGAGAACAGGCAATAGAGTGGCATTTCAACACCATGACTGGATGTTGATAGAATCATCACCCATGTGCAAAACCACCCAGAGCTTTATAGCACACAGCATAGACTCTACATGGACAACCATAAGTAGGCCAGCCAATAATTGCATCACCAAAAAAGTGCATGCTTAATTATTCAAAGTAATGTTATGCTCTTACACCCAAATAAAATAAAAAAAATATGTTGGCCCATGATATCTACAGCACCGCCACCACAAGCACATCTGTCTCTCATCAGGTCCCACCACCCTACTGCCATCCCTATCCACTGCCACCCCTCAATCATTTTCTCCCATGCCAACCACAAGCCGGGGCACCGCCACCACAACCACATCTGTCTCTCATCAGGTCCCACCACCCTACTGCCAACCCTATCCACTGCCACCCCTCAATCCTTTTCTCCCATGCCAAGCACAAGCCGGGGCACCGCCACCACAAGCACATCTCTCTCTCTTCAGGTCCCACCACCCTACTGCCAACCCTATCTACTGCCACCCCTCAATCCTTTTCTCACATGCCAAGCACAAGCCGGGGCACCGCCACCACAAGCACATCTCTCTCTCATCAGGTCCCACCACCCTACTGCCAAACATATCCACTGCCA